CCACCGGCGGGACAGCGCCCCCAGCAGACCGCCCAGAGCCCCCCACCCGGAAAACGTACTGAGGGGCAGCGGGGCGCGCGCTCTCGTGGGGGGAGGGGGTTACCTGTCTGCTGGGCTACGCGCGCGGCCTCCAGACACCGCCGCTGACTCTCGCTTCCCGCGTTCTGAAATCGCGCGCCGGGTGCCGCTCGCCGCGCCGCGCACTGCCCGCTGGGAAGCGTAGTCCCGCTCGCCCAGCTCCTCCCGCCGTGTCTTGCCGGGAAGAGCGCGGACGGGCCGGCGCGCAGACTACAACGTCCGGGCGGCCCCGCGCACCCCGCTCCCCGGGAGCCGCGCACCTGTTCCTTCCGGTTCCGGGGCAGCGGGGGCGACTGGAGGAGACGTGTCCTTCCGTGGCCGCCGGTGGAGGGGAGAGCGGCGCGATGGTGAGAGACGGGACGGCCCGGGCCCGGGGGCCGCCCCCCCCCCTCCCCCCCCCCCCCCCCCCCGCCGGCCCTGGGAGCCTGGGGCGGGGCTTTTCCTCCGCGTCTAGGCCTGAAACTGACCGAAACCTTCACATTCAGTCCCCCGCCCCCCCCAGCGACCGGGGCCCCGGAGCCGCCTCCTCCCCGTGGGGCCCGAGCCCTGCTCCCCCCGTCAAGCTGGGACCCTGGGGTTGCCCCTCCCCATGGCGCCTGTGTCCTGCCCCGTGGTGACCAGCGCTGCCCGGCCTGAGTGGGAGGCCGGGGTTACTGCTCCCGCCCGGTGACAGGCTGGGGCTGTGTCTTGCCCTGGGGCTGCAGCTTCCGCTGTGGTGCTAGTATCGCTCTGCTCTTTCTCTCCTCCCAGGAGCTCGAGGCCATGAGCAGATACACCAGCCCGGTGAACCCGGCTGTGTTCCCGCACCTCACCGTGGTGCTGCTGGCCATTGGCATGTTCTTCACTGCCTGGTTCTTCGTGTATCCATCCACTACGGAGCAGCAAGAAATTAGTAGCCGGGTGCCACTGACAGCAGAGGCTGGACGTGGGGGAAGAGCCCTTTAAAGCAAAGCGGGAATGGCTCTACTAGGAGTATTGAGGAGCCTCAGGGAGCAAAAGGGGCACATCCTAGTTGGGGTGGATCAGCTGGAAGCAGAGGGTAGATAACCACAGTTTTGGAGGGTGTAACAGTCTGGGGTGGGGGATACACTGGGGTGGGCAAACTATGGCCCAGGGGCCACATCCGGTCCTCCAGACATTTTAATCCAGCCTCAAGCTCCTGCCAGGGAGTGGGGTCTGGGGCTTGGCCCACTCTGCTGCTCCAGCCAGGGAGCAGGGTAGGGGCCTTGCTCCATGCGGCTCCCAGAAGCAGCGGCATGTCCCCCCTCTGACTTGTACGCGTAAGGGCAGCCGGGGGGCTCCACATATTGCCCCTGCCCCAAGCGCCGCCCCCGCAGCTCTCGTTGGTTGGGAACCATGGCCAATGGGAGCTGCAGGGGCGGTGCCTGCAGACAGGGCAGCACGCAGAGCCGCCTGGCCGTGTCTCCGCATAGGACCGGAGGCGGGACATGCCGCTGCTTCTGGCAGCTGCTTGAGGTAAGCGCCGCCCAGAGCCTGCACCCCTGATGCCCTGCGCCCCAACCTCCTGCCCCAGCCCTGATCCCCCTCCTTCCCTCCCAGCCCAGAGCACTCGCCTGCACCCCAAACCCCTCATCCCTAGCCAGAGCCCTGCCCCAGCCTGGAGCCCCCTCCCACATTCTGAACTCATTTCTGGCCCCAGCCCAGAGCCTGCACATCCAGCTGGAGCCCTCACCCCTCCTGCACCCCAACCCCCAATTTTGTGAGCATTCATGGCCCGCCATACAATTTCCATACCCAGATGTGGCCCTTGGGCTAAAAAGTTTGCCCACCCCGGGATACACTGTGGTTGAACTGGATTGCTTGAAAAGTTGAGCAGTGGGTGTACCTAGACTGGGACTGACGGGGGGGAGGATTTGCTGGTGGTAGAGAAGTCAGGAGGGCAGACAAGAGGGCCAAGAACAAGGAGGAGCCACAACTTGGGGATGTGTTCGAGTCAGGCTTGGTGTGAACCTGCTTTTTGATAATGTTCTTTGACAGCACTTGGTGTTGAGGATGAAGTGGGAAAGGCTGCTTGGCTGGAGCCCTTCAAGCCGTGGAAGCAGTCTCTGCAGGAATCTTAGATTGCGTAGTAAATATTACCCTGGTACAGTAAAAGCTATTTTATCCAGCATGTTGGGGGGCTGGGGGTGCTAGTAAGTGAAAAATGGCATTTAACTAAGAGGGAGGGACTTTGGGTGCAGGAGGGGGTGCGGGGCATGGGCTCTGAGAAGGAGTTTGGGTGCGGGAGGGGACTTGGGGCATGGGAGGTGGTGCGGGGTGCCAGATCTGGGGGGTGCTCACCTCGGGCGACTCCTCACAAGCGGCGACCTATCCCGGTTGCTCCTAGGCGGAGACGCGGCAGGTGGCCCTGCGTTCCGCCCCCGCCCCAAGTGCTGTCTCCACAGCTCCCATTGGTCGGGAACAGCAGTCAATGGGAGCTGCGGGGGCAACACCTGCAAGCGGAGGCAGCGCGCAGAGCCGCCTGCCGTGCCTCTGCCTAGAAGCACCTGGGATAGGTCGCCGCTTGCGGGGAGCCACCCAAGGTGAGTGGCCCCCGGACCCAGCACCCCATGCCCCAAGACCCCTCCCACACCCAAACTCCCTCCCAGAGCCTGCGCTCCACACCCCCTCTTGCGCCGCAACCCCCTGCCAGCCCTGTGCCAACTGGACTTTCAATGAAGATCAGAAATGCCGGTTTATAGAGCTTTCCGGTTGGTGAAGTGCCAGATAAAACAGCTTTTACTGCGGAAGGCTACCTCCCTGCCAGACCCTTTTGGTTCATTTTCAGGCCAAAGTTAGAATGTGGTATTGTGAGCCCTCTGATCTGTCTCTTTGGTTATTGCTTTAACTAGCCTTTTCAGCTATGAAGTGACTTCCACTAAGTACACACGGGACATCTACAAGGAACTGCTTATCTCCCTGGTGGCTTCACTTTTCATGGGCTTTGGAGTTCTCTTCTTGCTGTTGTGGGTCGGTATCTATGTGTGACACTAAGCCAGGGACCTACTCTAGGTAAGACCTGTAGAACCAGAACATAGAGCTAGTCAGCGTGTCCTCAGTTACAGGCCCAGCTGCCAGAGGCTGATAGATGCTAGTTTAAAAATGGCTAGTTAAGCATTTGTAGATATCTCATCTCCTGGAGACAGTCACACCCTGAGCTGGTGAATGCTCTGTACAGGAACTTCCCTTGGAGGGATCACTGTTGGGGTACAGGGCAGTGGACAAAGATGCTGCTATGCCACCATTTCCCCCATATGTGGAATCGCTGCTGTTGGTTAATTCTCCAGCACTGTAACAGGGGCTGCAACTATCCTGAGGCAGAGCTCTGCTCTTTATTCAACACTTCTCTGCAGATGTGGAGCTGCTTATCATTTCCCCCTCTATGGGTTGTGTACATGGGGGTTTTGAATGAAGGCAGCTCAGCGGCACACACATGCCATCCCAAACCAGTTATTTTAATCACATGTGCATTTGAGGAATCCAAATTAATCTTAATGCTATAAACTAGGATTCCCAGAGTCTTCTGACAAACGATGAATAAATAAATGAATCTGGAATGAGCGGGGCTAAGGAATTGAATTTCTGTCTCTCATTGCCTGCTTTCACACACGCTCCCTCTGGCACTGCTTCAGTAAAGCATCCCACTCACCCATGTGTTTCTGGGTCAGACAATAGGTCCGATTAAAGGAGCTGACCTCCATTTCTCAGCTGGGTTGGAGTTTGCTGAGTCCTAGTCTCACTCCCACCTTATGCCGTGGGAAGCAGTTATGGTAGCAGCAGGAGCTTGGTTTTGGGGGAAGGCTGTCACTCTAACTTCCTGCCTCTGTCATTTCAGATTCCAGGTGGAAGGCCTCACAGAAGCTCCGTCTTTTTTCTATTTTTGTACTTTAAGGATATGGCCTATTGCAGATGCAGACTCTGTGTCCTGCCAAGTGACATCACCTCAAGCCTGAATAAAGCTGGTTCTGTGATGTAGCAAACTTTGGGGTCCTACTCTGTGTTTTGGGGGCTCTTTATTTGACTTTCAGATGTGCTCTGATCTCACCACAAGATCAGCATCCCCTGGATAGATCCTCTGTTGTGTTCAGAAATAGAATGGCCCTTTCACAGGCTCCAGCCAACTGCAGCCATATTGAGAGGAACTGAGTATAGCCCTGAAGGAGTCCACTTCCCTCTGCAGTGCAGAATGGGGCTAATTTCCAGTTGTCTCTTACAGATGTGAACTATAAGGAAAGCTGCAGTGTAACTTGCCATCCACTGACAAGGAGCGTAGGCATAATGTTAAAGGTTTGTTTCAAACAAAAAAGTTTCACATCATCTCACACGTGTAGAAATGTACCATGAAAAGATGTTTTTAAAGTAATTGTTTTCTTGTAGAGAGAATGAGATCAGGTGTCTATTTAATAGTGGATACATCCTCTCCAAAAGACTGCTTCCTTCTCTGGTAGATAGCTGCTTTTGATCTTAATGTTCTTCCTGCTGTGTGATCCTGTATCACAATGGAGCTAGTGCAGGAGAAGTGTGAAGTCAAACTGGCACTGACCTGATTTTATTGTACAAGTTTGGTGAAATGAGGAAATCATGTTCCCAAATAAACTCACATCTACAGTTATATGGCCAAATTCATTACCGGTGTAAGTCAGTCATGTTACAGCAGGGGTTTTGTTCTGTAACTCCCATTGAAATCAATGGGCCTCAGAGTTGAATGTGGCCTAGGGTTGGGAATAGGCTGTTAACTCAGCTCGAGGTTGAGGACCATCTCTTTCGCAGGTTTTATTTTTTATGGGTCCTTTGGTGACTGAGGAGTCTGATCCTTGTGCCACAGGCTCGTCGGCAGACGTTACAGGTGATGTTGGAAGTCAGATTGTTGCGTGACAGTTGTCTGTCTTTTCTGGCGTTTTTCTGCGACCAAGGCAAGGTGACAAGTCTTTGCCAGTTATCCTTATCCTGGGCTACTGTCTCCCAGTGTGTGGTGTCAATGCCACATCGCTTGATGTTTATCTTGAGCGTGTCTTTAAAACATTTCTTTTGGCCTCCCCATTTCCTTTCTTCTTTGGTGAGTTGGGCGTACAGCAGTTGTTTTGGGAAGCGTCCATGAGGCATGTGCACACAGTGCCCGCTCCTCCTCA